GCCTGAGTCAGAAGGATCCTTGTGAGTTTGAGACCAACCCAGGCTACAAAGTCCGCTCAAGGCCAGCCTGAACTGCATAGCAAGACTTTGTCTCAAAAAAACAAACAAACAAAATAAGAATTTCCTTCCAGAAAAGCTTAGGAAATGAGAAAAAATTAGAAAATATATGAATTAGGAGGAAATCTGAAATGGAAAGGGCTGAGTTTTAGTGGTTGGCATTCATAATTCTAAAATAGATTAGAAAAATCTCTCTGTGTGCATCCCTTGCTCACATAGATGAAGCAATTTAATTATAATTCTTACTTGTTATAGCTACAAATGTTCAAACTCATAAGCAATTTAGCAACAAAGAGACACTAGAAAGGTTCATCTTTATCTTTAGTTTATAAAATTGAGTCCTTTGGAGCAAAGAAATTGAGGTGCATGTCAGATGGGACTGGGACCCTGATCACTTAACACCTGACTTCCAGTGATTGTTAAGTACCTAAAAAACCCATAGTCTAACTAGGCACATGTCTATCATTCCAGCTACTATGAAGTCCCAGGTGTGAGGATCACTTTAGCCCAGGAGTTCAAAGCCAGCTTGTCTCAAAACAAAACAAAACCAATCCTTAATCTTGCAAAAAGTTGGATGATTTCTTTCAGTGACTGACCATAGTTTATGTGTCTTCAATTTTTTACCTCCCATCTTGCATGGGACATTAATACCGAGGAAGCCACCACGATCATTTCATGTTGCCTTTTCAGTCTGAAGTCACCACTGGTCTGATAAAATCTTTGTGCCCAAGCCATGCAAAGGAAGTTTACAGACACTGGTGAATGTGGCTTAGGCAGGAGATTTCCTTCCTCTTTGTATGTCTAAGAGTGATTGAGATATTTTGAGTCCGGCTGGTGTTGAAGAGGACCCAAACCACAAAAGTCCTAAATGAGTAGTCTCTCTAAGAGAATGACAGAAAAGACTTTACACAGAAGGTTTTATAATGTACAGATTTCCACATGTGAAGATAAATTTAATGACCAACTTGAAAATGGAAACATAATTTTAAGTCAAAAACATTTCTCTAAACACAGTTACATAGATTACATCTGTACGTTCAAGGTGAGAGGTTCCAGCTTTGCAATTGTAGATTCTACTGGTTTTGAAATGAACTAGGTTAGCACTTCAGCTGTTGTTCACTCAGGGCAGATCCCTGACTCCTGAGACGCCAATGAGCCCACACTTCCACCGGGTCCATGCTGGCGAGCCTGCTGGTCGTGGCAGTGAGTCACAGCTGGAACATCCTGTGGTTAACATTCTGCTCTGAAAACAGAATCAGAAGCAGTGAGACACCCACTGGTTTCCATGGTAACTTCTATTTGTATACTTTGAAAAATGACTGACTTTTTGTGTGGTAAATTTACGCGGGAATGAATTGTAGAGGTGACGTTAACCATCTGTGTGACTATAAAACAAACCAAAAAAAAAAAAGACCCTGATTTAATTAAGTGTAATGTTAAAAGGACTGAGGGTATGAGGGGTTTCTTCTCATGGAGGCATTGTTCTGTACTAATTAATCCATTAATTTATTTGCCCTTACAATGAAGCAGTTTCAAAAATGTCTATCCGATGTTTCTTTCAGCACATTATTCCCTTCCTTTTAAAGGCAAAAGGATACTAATTGTCATTCATCAGTGTGCCCTCAGACCCACTGCCTCTCTCTGCCACCTCTCCTGTCTGGTTCACAGTGTATTAGAGACCAGTGAAGGGCTGTGCCCAGGGATCTTGTTCAATGAAGTAATGCCATCGGAAGGAAGAAGGGGGGAAAAAATCCCCTCTGAGTCATGTGGCAACTCCACATCCTTTAACCTTGCTGAGCAGGGAAGGAAAAGGGCTGTGCATATTATTAACAGCTGGTATATAGTGAAAATATTGTGTGTCTCCTCGACATGATGCCCAGGACTTCATAAGTGGCTTAAAGTGACCATAGCTATGGAGAAATCTTACCTTGAGTTCTATTAGATAAAGATAAACTAATTTCCGCTTTGGTCACTAATGAAGGACCTGGGGATGGAGCTTAGTGGTAGAGTACTTGCCTAGCATGCTGGATTCACACACACACACACACACACACACACACACACACACAGAGGACAGGACAGGAGAGCATTTTCTTGCATATTATGTCTCTGCTTGGGAACAGGATGTTTATTTTTGTATTTGTGTACTTAGTTCCAAAGTGAACTTTATGGAACAGACTTAGTAAAAACTCTGACACTGAGCTCTCCTTGGGAGACTGCTGGTTTGAGAGCACAGATCTCAGGAGGCATCTCCTCACCCATCACTGGGCCTGTGTAGAGGGTGGGGCCTGAGACCTTGGGGCAGGGCTATTGTTTCAGGTTCCTTCTTGTTTACACTGTTTTTCTTTCTTTCTGTCATTATCCCTTCCTTAGTATGACTTCCGACAAACATATAAAATACTAGAAATCTAATAAGAAGCACATTTTAAAAAATCTTTTATATTTATGTATGTGGTACAAAGTCTTGCTAAGCAGCTCAGACTCAGTGCTCCTCCCGTGTCAGCCTCTCCAGTGCTGGGATTACTGGTGTGCACCACCATGCCCAGAGAGACACATTTTTTGAAGGTAGCATTTTTTTAAGAAAGCAGAAGTCACAGGTCTCAAAAATAAAGCTCATCTTTATTCATTTGCTTAAAAAGCTTAGGTTTAGTGCTGAAGGATGAATTAACAATAATGTACTCTGGCCTTCTGCTCCTGCATCTCCGCTGACCTCCCCGAAACCTCAGGAGCATGGGTGCCCTGATGAGCAGCCACCGTGAGGTCTCTTTCCACCAGACAGGCCAAGATTTAGAAATCTGTGATTTATCAGGACCTTGAACATGGCCCAGCTGACTTTGCCCTCTGTGGAAACAGCTCTGAAGCATCCAGCCCCTTTACAACCTAAAATGAAATGTAGAGCTGTGTGATTTTAATATCTGTCTAACTATACAAGGCCCAAGTACTAGCAAAGATTAAATCCTTAAAATAAATGCAATCTGGGGAAACACTGGTGTTCGTTCATTGGAGAGACATTGGGAGCTTGTCCTCATTAAACTCTGCTCTCGGCAGAGATACATTACTCTAAGAACTCCCAGTCCCTACGGCTGATAAGCGCTGTGCCTATAACAAGAATGCTAGGGGATGTGATAGCTTGTACAAAAATTACGAAAGAGAAGCTAAAGGATTTCAAAGGAAAACTAATCTGTGCCTGACTATAGAGATTAGCGAAGGCTCCACAGGAGAAGGTACTTTATTAAAATGGAGTTATTATTTTCCCTAGTTAAATCAGTATATTTCAAACAGTGCTTTACAGCTTAACATTTCTGTAACTAACACCACTTTGGTCAGTTTACTAAATCCTATATATTTTCCTGCAGATATGTGCAAATTCATGTACACTGGCCATGACATCAATCACAGAAGTCCATGTGTCCGTTAGCTATTTTCCCTTTTATTGTCACAGGCAGCTCGTCCTGAGGTCACTGGGCCTAAGTGCTCTGTGTGGACATCACGAGGATGCAGAGAGAATGTAATTAGCTGAGTCATAAGGAAGCCAGTCCTCCAGTCAATGGAGAAGTTTTCTTAGTTTTTTTTTTTTTTTCTTTTTTACTTTTTAATTTGGGGATATCTAGAGCCAGAGAGATAGCTCAGCAACATAAGCACCTGCCTGGCAAGTGCAAGGTCCTGAGTTCAAGCCCCAGTACTGTGGGAAAAAAAAAGAAAAAAATAAGAATCTGAGGATATCTATCTGATGAAATTATTAAATGAGGTACAATTAGTTGTAGAAATGCTCCTTGGAAAAATGGGCAAAGACCTAAGCAGAAATATTTCAAGGGAAGACATGTAAATGCCCACTAAACATGAAAACAAAAATAGCAACAAAATACCCCAACTTCAGTGTTTCACATTAAGGTAATACAAAAAAGTTCCTTTTTTTTTTTTTTTTTTTTTTTTTACTTTTGACATCAGTTGTAAAAAGAATAGCAATCAGAGAGAATTCTACTGGAAAGAAAACCAGGTCTTTAATTTTCTAATTTACCAGTGAGATATCTTGATACAAACTTTTTGGTTATAAATTTAATACCACCGGGGAAGTAGCTCAGTGGTACAGTGCTTGTCCAGCATATGTTACATGCTGAATTCAATCCCTAGCACCACCAAACAAGCCAACAAAAAATGAAGAAATGCAATAATATTGCATCAATAGCCACAAAACTTTACACTCTGATTAATTCCCTTTGTTGGAATCTTTGTAAACAAAAAAGGTTAAATATGAAACAAATATTTATAATTACAAAAATTTTAAATATCATAAATGAACAATAGAATTATAATGCTAAGAAAGCATTTTGTACCCACTAAAAATGTTTATGCAGACTACTTCATGACATGCTTAGTGAAAAGCAGGGAGACAATTAAACCTGTAGCCCAAATTTATATACCTACACACTTACACAAATGTGTATGTCACACACAGGTGAAAAAGATAGCAAAGAAAGAAATTTCTGGTGCTAACAAAATATTTAGAGTGTTTATCTTCAGTGCTAGTAGCTTGTTATTTTCTTTTCTTTCTACTTTTCTAAAATGTCTGAATTTTTTAAGTTCGTATTTATTTATCATATCACCATTCAGAATTGTAATAGCTACTATTCTCATTAATATCTTATGGCTGCCATTTCCCTTTTCTGTTCCTAAATTATACTTGGGAGCTGCTAGGCCGGCATACAACATAAAAAATCAGTAGTTAGGTTTCCAAATTTATGTGCCTTAGAAATTAGATTCATCTCTAAATCCCTCTATTACAATTGCTTATTTTTAAATTTTTGTGTTAAGCCTCCTGGATTCAACTCCTCTTTACAAATGTGCTTGTAGCCTTTGGATCACAGAGCAATATGAGTAGACATGGTTCTGTGAAAAAGTCGTATGACATGCTTTTACATTGGGAAGTTTCTCTATCATTTCAGCTCTACGATGGCCCAAATCGGATTGGGCGCTATTGTGGAACAGATATCCCCCCATCGGGGAGTACCAGCAACTCCTGGCTTCAAGTGCTGTTCCACACAGATGGAGTCGGTGACGATGAGAAAGGATTTCAGATGCAGTGGCTGGTTCATGGTAAGCCCTACACTCAGCTCACTTGTGTCTCAGTCGCTGTTTGTCCAGGAATTGTTCCCTTCCCAGTTCCATCCTTGGAAACAGTGCCATCAACAAATAATGAAACCAAGTAATTTACTGGTAGGCTTTAGAAATTTAACTTAGACATTTGTAGAAAGTGAAGAGATAAATCATGGGGGCATGAGAGAAGGTGGAGTCAAGGAGGAAAGAATTTGGGTTAAGAGTTAAGGAGATGTGGAGATGAACTGCATCAGAGAAAGAAGAAAACAATGAAATTACTAAGAATAAAGACTCACATCTGGGTATAGCATTGTTGGCCATTTCATGTTCCAAAGTGGGATGGGTGACATTCAGTACCATGGAGCAGGATGAGGGTGAAGGCTTACCCTAGCATTATGTGGAGAATGAGTGATAGGGATCTAGCAGTGAGAGAAGCTGCGAGTCAGTCAGAGAGATCAGGAAGAGGTGGGGTTGTGAGAGGATCAGGAGCACAGAATTTAAGCTGAATGCATGAAGCAGGCCCAATCATTATAGCTGCCAAAGGGTACCCATTGGAGGAGGAAACCTTAGAGATCATCATTCCTTTAAAGATGAAAAGTTGTTGGGGCTGGTGGGATGGCTCGGTGGTCTGGAGCCCCTACTTGGGGCAGGCTTGGCAGGGCACAGGGACCTCTGTTCGGTCCCCCAGCGCCGCATGCCGGCCGGCCCCGCCCCCTGGTGGGCTGAGCTGGCCACACGCGCACACACACACACACACACACACACACACATAAATAAATAAAATTAAAAAAAAAAAAAGATGAAAAGTTGTTTTCAACAAGAGACCTGAGACATGAAGATTTGCCTCCTGTGGACCAATCAATAGGTGGAGACTCCCAGAGCAATGATTCTCAAGAGAGCAGCAAAAGCATTAAAAACTTTCTAGAAATGAAAACCCTTGGTCCTACACCAGACCTAGTAAATCAAAAACTCTTGAGCTAAGCTCAGAAACCTGTAACTTTAATTGTTCTTCCCTGGTGATTGAAGTTCATGAGTCATTGCTCTAGGTTGATTCAGCCCTGAAAAAGATAGTCTTGTAAGGATCACAGTAGCAGCTCCCAGCCCAGGTGTTAGAAAGAACTGGTATATTTCAGTTCCCTGGAAAGAGAAGTGGAATTTCACTGCTAATTCAGGAAGTAAGCACAGTCATCTAAACTATGATGCTACTGTCAAACTTGAGATAATCCAAGCAAGGTGAGCACACATAGGGCCACAGTTGGCTCTTTAAGGGTCGTGGATGTTATATTACACCTTTATGAACCTCAGCACTACGCAGAATTGCCTTATTGTAGAGCCCTACTTATCAGGGCTAGTGATTTACAGCAGATCTTATTCTGACAAATCCATTGTCAATTGAAAATATCACCAGTCAAAAATGCATTTAATCCACCTATTGTACTGAACAAATGACTTAGACTTAAATGTACTCAAAACATTTACTTTAGTCTATAATAATTGGGCAAAAAGTATTGAAGAGAAAACTGAAAATTCATAGTATGGTTTTTACTAAATGCCATTATAATCAAAGAGCTTATCGCTTTTATGCCATTGTTGGCATATTATGCCATTTACTCAAAAAGTTCAAAGTCTAACTATGGTAACTTAGGGATCATCTGTGTGTAGAACAGTATTAGATGTTCTGAGGTTTTGAACTGGGCACTGAGTGCATTTACATTAAAATATACATGTAGAGTTCTCAGTATTTAAAAATGTTCTGTAGTAATCCACAGAGCTGTTTACGACTTCAAACATAGATTAATATAGATTAAATATTTCAAAAGTAAGTGAGCTATGATGATTAGCTTTTACGGAAACTCTTCATCAGGAGTGTGGATTTAACCTTACAGTAGCCCGCTCATTAATCTGATAAAGGATTGGATTGAATCATCTCTCTATTGCATTCCACTTCTTAGTTACTTTCTCTTTACAGAGACACCATACCCAACACTCACAATTTGAAGGAGCAAAGGTGTGTCTTGGCTCAGTTTGTGTAGATTTCAGTCCATAGTCAGCTGACTGCAAAGCAGGTGGCCTGGCAAAGAGGCCTGATGGAGGAAAACAGCAAGAATCGGTGTTAAGTCTAGAGACAGAAACCAATAGAAAGGCAGTATCCCTAAGGACAGGAGAATCCTTCTGAGGTGATCAAAGGGGACAGTGTTGTAAAAGTTTGTTTTCATTGAAACAGAACACCCATTGTTGGGTACTTTGTAGGAGAGAAACTTACTGCTTCAATGTCCAAAGGGGCAAAGTTCTTCCCTGGGGACAGAAGGGTGGAAGTTAGGAAATGCTAACCAGGAGAGTTGGGTTCCAGAATCTAGGAGACACTCTTTGGCCCAAATGCCCATTGCAATTTTCTAGGAATGTAAAAGAGTACCTATGGCCTGAGTTCCATCTCCCATAGATAGACTTCAACTGATTGGTGGTTGCCTAGTGGTAAATAATTATCTTGCAGTCAAAATGAAGAGCATGACAGGAGCAATTTTTTTTTCTGGTTATATCCTATTCCAGAGCACCCCACTCCCCAAGGGCTGTTATAGTCATACAGTGCACAGCCACTCTAAGGAGCTCAACTGAGCAGTCATTATTGGCCACATCCAGGTTACTGTATCAGTTTATTCTTCCAGCCATTATTCCAAACCCTCTGGTGAAAGCTCTGAGTTTTTCTTCCTACCAGTTCTACTTAGAATCTGTCTTTGAGATCAAAGACATTCTCTGTCTATTCTCTTCTCTTGTTTACTGCTTCCAGACTTTCCCACAATTACTGAAAACTTGCTGAGCTTAGAGCCAGTTATGCAACAACGTTTTGCCAGTTGAGAGCAAAACTTGGAAAGAAGATTTAAAACTGTGTTGCCCGCCGTATGTTACCAATGACACTTGGGAAGAGTCTTCAGGAAGGATATTATCAGTAAATAGAGATGTGCAAAATTAACTATGATATAGCTATATAATGCCATGAGCACAGGGTTTATGCTCTGCATCTGAGCTGTATCTGTAACATGAAAGAGCCTTAGAAGAGGCTTCAACAGAGAAGACAAGGATGCAGGAGGCCTTCAGAGGTGAGGTACCCCCACTGCTTATCCACTGAAGATAAACTGAAGATATAGATTGTGAACTTTCATTCATCCATTTATACACTGGATCTTAAGGGGCTCTTTTGCTCCAGCTGCTCTCCTAGGGCTGGGGGCACAAAATAACTCTTAGCAGTCATCATGGTTCCTATTCTCACAGAGTTTACAGGGTAATGGGAGAAGTGGCCATCTGGCAAATACACAAATAACTAGACAATCAAAACTGTGATAAATGTTGCCAAAACATACACAAAGAGATCAGAGCTGGGCTGGACAAATAGGGAAATCTTCCATGAGTATAGGGACCTTAGAGCAAAAATCTGAGAAATAAATGGGAAGCAAATAGGCAAATAGGGGAAAGAAAAGGATCCCAGGTAGAAGGACCTTGTGGTTGAAGGAAGCAGGGGCCTAAGTCCACAGTGGCTGGAATGGAGTGTGTAGGCTGCAGTCCTCAAGGAGGTTGGAGCCCTCAGAGGTGTCACAACACACGTCACCTAAACAGAGACACAGGCAGTCATGGGAGTCTCACCCTCCTTAGGCTCATCCATCATGCTTCTTAAAACAATGGGATTGGGAAAGGATTCTGAAGGATTAAAGTAGTGTGGTAAGCTATAGGACTCATTACAGAATAAAATACAAACTACAAGGAGACATTCAACTCACAGCCACACATCACTTAACACTGGGGATATGTTCTGAGAAAACATTGTTAGCCAGCATCATCATGAGCAAATATTACAGGGTGTGTTTGCCCTGACGGAGACTGTTACAGTGTCACTTGGGGAATGTAATCTCATGGGATGCTGACAATGACAGGCCATTATGCAGCATATAAATGTACTCTCAACTTCCAAGTGCAGTAAATTATTCTTGAATGCATTTGTGAGTTCATACATGTAAAATGCACTAGCAGAAAAAAAAATCCTTCCAAAAATAATTAAATTGCTGCAGTGTCAGAATCAGCTGGTGGGCCCTAAGCCAGATCTGACCCTGAGCTGTTTTCTTACCTGGCCCAAGAAAGCAGCTTTCAACTCCTAGTCTCTGCATCAGAATCAAATCACATCCCAGGGCTATTCTTCTCATGCTTTTTGCCAAACTATGTAATAAGAGCTATACAAACAGCATTTGTGGAGTGCTTAGGATCCACAGTGACATCATTTCCTAAGCATTCCTGTTGAGGAAGAATCCTTGTATACTTCATTCATTTTGGTAACTGATAAATCTGTTTACCAAATGTGCTTTTTTATCAACTGCACAAACCTTCTATTTACTTTGAGAAAATAGATCTACAGATGAGCTTTCTCTGCAGGCCCATTTTCAAAGTGGCTCTGTAGAAGTAAGATGAAGCCACACTGCAGTGGCTTTGTTTGGGCCCTCAAAGAGAGTCCCACCCTGGAAATAAAGGAATGGTCGCAGTCTCCCTGCCTGGCTAATCGCTTCATAGTATTCAGCATTGACAGCATTGTTCAGAGGCTGAATTCGGCCTTGGGGGCCTCCGCCTGGGCTGTTGAAGGGCAGATAGGACTGTCCACAAGCATGTGAATAGAGGCCTCCCAGCCAGCTGTGCACACCCCTCCTCTCTGCCTGCTCCTCCGGAGGCCTTCTTTCACTTGGCAATGGAACCCAGCATGCAAACAAGGTCAAGGAGCTTTGTAAGCTAAGAGAGTGACATTTGCAAAGAAAGCAAACACTGCAGCAGGGAGCTCTGAGGGGAAGGGCTAAGTAGCATGTGATGAAGCGATGATGTCACCCTGGATTTCCACAAAGAAAAGTGTCTCCTTTGCTTGGGAAGATAGATGACATCAGCCTCTCAAATGGAGGCCTCTCCATTTTATCTTCTTTTTAGTATTAATGAGCTTTCTCAAGGCTCAAACATTTTCCAAAAAAAAAAAAAATGGTTTTGAGAGAACACTTTAAAAATAGTATCCAGACCCTCCATGACCAGCTTTGTTTGCAAGTGAGCTGGCCTCTCCTTGGCTGCCTGTGCGCAAGAGGTGCAGTACCAAAGAGCAAAGAGCATCGGAAAGCTTACCTGGGAACACTGCTTAGGAACCTTTGTGAGGTCGCCCGTGCTACTCTTTAACCTTCTCTTGGTTCTCTCTTAAATGGGCTTTTGGTGGCTTCTGTTTATTATTGGTCTTTTAGGGGAATTCCTGCTGACTTGTCATTTTTTATTCATGACTTAGAATATGAGAGGTAGAGTATGAAAGTTAGATAAAGACTTGGAGCAGAAAAAGAGATGGAATCATGCATCAGTGAGTCTGAAGTTATGAAGGATGTCCCAAATTGTAAAGGGTTTTCAAAACATATAAAAGAGCATCATACTATCAGTCTTTGTCTTCAAGTCTTTGTGCACAGTCCAGTTGGGAAACAGTTGTCGAAGGTTAACAGAAGTCCTGAATGGGATAGGTTTCTAGCATCAGGTTTGTAAGGAGCCATAAGACTTTGGGAGCATTACTGTGTGGATTTAGAGCCCTCAAGGAATGAGGGACCAAGAATTAGTAGATGCTGCCTGCGTTACTCGAGCACAGACAGGTAGAGGTGAGCATAATACAATGAAGACAGTAGGCTCCACACACCTGCTGCGGCTGTATTCTCTACAGCTCTGAAATCCAGCTGGATGAGTTTATGTAGTAAGAAATAGGTAGCCACTGTTATTTTTAAAGCAGGATGTGAGAAATGTCACTGGGGAGAAGTCACAAATCATGGTGACAGAGGGGACCAAAGAGGACCATGAAGGTTTGTAGGTGATAAGCTGGGGATACAGGGTTTCAGAGTCAAGATGACAGAAGCCCAAGGCAAACAAAGAGGCAATAGGTCCACAGCGAAGACACAAATGGGCTGTGTGGC